ATCCCCGGTCACTGGAGGCTTTGGTCACATGACAGTGGGGACCCCCGGCCCCATGCACTGTGCACAGAGGGGAGCCATGGACACCTCCCAAGAGAAGGTGTCAGGACTCGGTGGGAGGAAGGACTGTGGCAGGGTGGTGGCTTTGGGTCCAATCCTGGCTCTTGTCCTGTTTACTTGGCCCCAGTCCTGCTTGGTGCCCGGCCACAGAGGAGGCGGGCCGAGTGTGGGCGGCTTGTTCTGTCTGCCTGGTGGTTTAGGGGTGAGTCTTCTCACAGATGCACTTGAATGCGTTCTCTGGGGAGCTGTGAAGGCTGGGGCAGGGGGCAGGCACCCTTTCTTCTTCCATCAAAGCCACGGAGATGTCCAAAGGTTTATTTATTACCTGCCTCTCTTCTCTGCGGCTTCTCTCACCAAATCCAGGTCACCATGGGGGGGTTGAGGGTGGGGCAGCACCCACCCCCGGGCACTGGCTCAGCGGCCCCTCCTGGCCAGCAGTGGCTTCCTGAGACAGACTGCTACCCAGAAAGAAGGACTGAGCTTCTTCAACCTGAGCTCCAGGGGCTGGGGCTGGGCCAAGGGGGGCAGGCCCCGGGGAATGTGATGTGCAAGTGGAGGGTCTCCATCAGCACCAGCCACGTGCAGGGACGGCATCTGACTCTGGGCTGCATGGCGCCGGCCCTCAACAGTGAGCAGGGAAAACTTAGATTCACATCAATAATGCAGGCCATTAAATTCACATGCCCTTACAAGTCACAAAGACAATCAGTATTTTTACTCTATTTTTCTCATGTGACAAAGATGGGTAATGAGAAGAACAAAAGAAAATCTCTTCTCTACTCCTGGAGGCACCAGCCAGTCTGATTCACCCCCACAGGCAAGTGGAGGGTCTCCATCAGCACCAGCCATGTGCAGGGACGGCATCTGACTCTGGGCTGCATGGCGCCGGCCCTCAACAGTGAGCAGGGAAGCCCAGGGATCCGGGCCTTTGCCTGCTGGAGGCTGGGCAGGCCCCGTGCCCAGGCCCCACAGCCGTGGGAGACAAGAGGGTCTCTCTGGGAGTAGCTGCACCCTCTGGGATCCCCTCTCATGCAGAGGAGCCTGGCTTGTTTAGCCGTTAATTCGTTTGACCCAGAGCCTGTGGGACACTATGGGGAAGCCAGAGCCTCAGGGACAAACCCCAGCCAAGTGGGGGATGGCTTGCTTGCCTCAGTCACAGGCAGCCTGGCCCTGTGGGCATCTGATTCAGTTAACGGCCAGAAATCTCATGTGACAGACCCCTGTGCACCTTGGGTGGGGGCCCACTCAGGCCCCCGTCTTCTGTGAGCAGGAAGCAGCGCTCAGTCCTAACTCCCCCCTCCTCCACGCCCCCCAGCTCCTCAACATTCCCGCCAGACTGGGCTCTGCCGGCACCTCCCGTTGACCTCCTAGGTCGACTGCAAAGAGGAAATAGCGCTCTACCCCCCACGTGCCCCCACATGCCCCTGCCCAACCCTGACAATCAGGGCCCACCTCCCACAGAGCATCAACTCCAGCGACAGCCCCCAAATGGCTGTCCCCTGCAGCATTCCAGGGGTCCTGCCCCCTCCGGGAGAAAATGTTTAGGGGTGGTGGGAGGCGTTGAGACCAGCTGGGGATCCCCCTATCCCCAAGACCTGGCGCAGGGGCCTGGGAAGTGGGAGGTACCTTCCCTGGGGACTCTCCGCGGAACCCTTCGCCAGCAAAGGCGGGGGTCCCACAGTGGGGCCGGGGTCTCACCTCGTCCTCGGGCAGAGTGGGGAGCGGTTCGAAGTCATAGAAGTCCAGATCCTTGCCGTCCACTTCGTAAAAATCCGCCGCGGCCGGGTCCATGGCCTGCATCTTGCGAGCGCGCCGGCGAC